TTTCTTTCTTTCTTTCTTTCTTTCTTTCTTTCTTTCTTTCTTTCTTTCTTTCCCTTTTTATTGTATTGTTATAAATCTTGATATATTATGTTATTTTAATACAATGATATTTACATACTATAATTAAATTCTTCATATTCTGTTATTTAGATACCTTAGAGTATTGGAAATGAAGAAAAAATATTCTATCAATATTAATTACAATTTAGGATATCAATGTTTCAAGCATTATAATGTAGTTATTTTCCATTTGAGGATCCCCATTTGTTGTGACAAATATAGACTGTAGCCCCATATACTATATCTGCGGAATTTCAGGAAACTCATATCAATGGGATTATGGAACTGAATAAAAATTGAAACCTGCAATTTACATTTCAAGTTTATACTCCAGCCACAGGGATAAGATCTCATGCAAACTTTTCTATAGTTAAAGCTGCTGTAGGCTAATCCTGCTGATTAGGGTAAGGAATATTTACAACGCAAAAATTATTTCTGTGGTAAAGATTCTGAAGGTAGGTCACTTCTTCTGGAAGATCTTTGTTTTCTTTAAAAACTTTTGGCACATCCATTGCAAGTTGTTTATCACCTTTCAAGCAGAGCAATTCTTGTTTCATGTGAATCACTTAATCAGCTATGCTTTTAAAAAAATTTAAAGTATCAAGTCTCTGGTTCAAATCCCCAAATTTCTGATTCAGTTTAACCACTAAAGTTTTATCTGCATATAATTTCAATTATTCTAAAATTTAGTGTATCATGGGGATGCTTTTATAGTGGTGAGGTTTTCCTTTTCTTTTCTAAATTAAACTAAAGCTGTCAGTTGGCCAGGACTTTAGTAGGAAAATAAGAAGATTCTCAGTTTGGGAGGGATCCAGAATCGTAATTCAAAATAACCATAACAAACTGGAAGTCCTCAAATCCCACTGAAGATATACTAGACATCAGTGAGCACTTTTTTTGCCTTTGATGAAGTGTATATTATGGAATAAATTGCCACTGAATTTGAAATAAACCTCTTCCCTATTACATTTTAGGTAGAGGGGTCAACGTATTTATTTTTCCAGACCTTTTAATACCACTGGTTTACCTTTTGTTTATAATATCTATCCTCCTCCTCCTTTTAATTTATGGCTCACTTTTAATGGATGCCATTTATTTATTTATTATACTTTATAAGCGATCCAGAACTGTTAAATTAGGGGTTTGCATGTAAATATAATACACATTAGTGGAATCCTGTTCTACTGTGGCTTGAGCCTGATACTTTTTTATTCCTTTGACATTCCAGTTTTTAATTTAGATAAGATACTGAGATTGTACTGGTGGGTTGGTTGGGTAACATCTCTAGTAGGAGTTACAGAAGATATTATTCTGCTTATTTGAGACTTGATACTGTAAACCAGAAGTTCCTAATGTGTTCTGATAGATGGCCTTATCTGGAATTTAGAGCACTGTTGTGGGACTCTTGATCTCCGTTGTAGAGGACTGTGGAGATAATCTTGATCAAGGAATGCAGGAATTAAAGGAAAATAAAAGACCACTCAGTCCTGGAAAAGGGGAAGACAGGAAAACAAAACAAAACAAAATAACTCTAACTTGATTCTATTTGGTATAAGGGGAAGAGAGAAACTCTGGAAGTGTTTCAATATTCTGTTACTATGCCCTACAACAATAAAATGGGATTCCTGTAATCCTTGCAATGTCTGTTTCCTGACGTGGCCTATCTGAATAGACAGACACCCATTCACAAAATAATCCCATGGTAGCTATGGCCACAAAATAGCAATATCCTAGAACATTAATGAATTAAAACTAAAGAAAACCTTGTGTAAGAACCTAAGCACATGTACAACATAGGTATTTGTTTTGCCAACCATGTTACTGATATTCTGCCTGCTTTTGGTATTTCTTTGGTGGTGTCAGCTAACAGAAGACGTTTCTGGTTACCTTGAATATGTGAAATGTGCATATTTTGTATTGGCGCCAGTGACTCATTTCAGCAATGATTATTGTGGCAATCTATCCATCAAGAATTCATTCATTATGAATTCTGTTTGGAATGGTTAGGAGGAAAAATTAAGTCATGTGGGAATGTGACTGTATAGTAGACGAAGGAATTCCCATCCATTGTAATATTGCCTCTTAAATGTCAGTGTGGCATTCTAGCAATAAAGTAGTAAATATGTTTATTCCTATGTTAAGATATAGCTTCTAAATAGTTCTTGCCAATAGTTTAGCAAGAAATGCTTTTATTTTGTTACTGATTTTTCAGTTAGCCTCAAAGGTTGAACTTGTCTCTCTTTTTTAAACAGGTCAGTAATGACAGATCTGTTCTACCTCAGTCAGACTGATGGAGCAGGTGCTTGGCGAGAAAAAGAAGCCAAAGATTTGACAGAGTTAGTGCAGAGGAGAATAACTTATCTTCAGGTAACAATTCTGTGGAAAGACCATTTATATAGGCATCTTAATATAGTAATATAATGTATGCAGCTTTCAAAACCATAAGCATTTAGAAAGGTGTGCCCCATTCATTGAATAAAATAATATATTGTGTTGGTGGAATGGATTTCCCTGTTCCTACCTCCTCCTGTGTCCAATGTGCTCAAAATTTTGGGGGACCCTTCAGAGCAGTGTCAGGGTATAAATGGGAATGGAACTAGGGAAGAGAAAGGAGAAGTCCTATTGTGTGACCAGAAGTTTATTTGTGTACTTTTGGGTGAGATCTGATATTGGTTAACAGATATTCATGTTTTGCATTTCCAGTCCTTTAGCTAATAAAAATCAGTATATTAATCTGATTCATCAATAGCCTTCATTCCTCATTTGAGTACTTTTTTACCGAATTAACTTTATAGAGAAGAATTTTTCTCTTTTAATGGTTGTTACTTGATCTAAAGACTGTCATTTTACAGGGTTCTGAAGTCTCTCTGGAAATTTATGTACAAAGTTATATGTGATTCATTCACAAATAAGTCTAAAAGTTCATAGCTCTTATTTATTCTTCATTGGCAAAGAGTACATTATTTCATATATAGGTTTGTTTAGTGCTTTGGATTCAGTTTCAGGAAGCTTTTTGGAGCATTTGGGGATCTGCAGCATCTTAAAGCGGCCAAGCTTTTTCATGAATTGCATGGCCACAGCAGAAGACTGTTTGATTCCAGGAAAAAAAAAATGCAGCTGTTTTAAAGATTTGCAAAGAGGAGCTAGCTTCATGCTTCTGCATGCTCTGAAGTACTTTTTTGTAATTGTATCCAAAGTGCTGCATAGCTCTATTATCAGATATCCCATGTTTGATTGTATCATGTGAAATATTTATTTCTTGGGAGGGTTCTGGAATTCCTAGTACTAGGGAAAGCATTGGTTTCATGTAATTATTTCTGACACAGTTTAGTATTCATCTGAATGTTTATAAAAGTGCTGGTATGCATGTTAGATTTTCATAGTGACTTTCCCAGGTAAAATAAAGTATTTCACATTTTTTCAGTAAATCTCAAAAACCAATTGAGGAAGCACTCCTTATATGTTTTAGATGAATTGGGATATTCTGGTAATTAACTATTTAACTCCAAGCATCTTTATATCTGCAGGATTAATTTTTGTGTTGCAATAATTCATAAATACATCATAAGAATTCTTGTAGATAAACACAGATAAAGACTATCCTAAGTACCTTCATATTTAAGGAAAATGTCCTAAAGCAAATTAAGAATAGATGTCAAGATTTCCTGTGAAATAATATTTTAAAAAGAGATTGGAATAAATACAGATGTTATCAAGATGACATTATTGATATCTGTATTTATTCCAAGGGCAAAATGGTATTGCCATCTTTGTCTTGTGTAAATTAAACATAACTGTGAGTCTTCTAGACAACCTCTGCGCAAGGATAAAACAAGCTCTAAAGCACTTTTTTTTTTGTTACCCTATCACATAACAGAATAAGAAATACAGAGGGAAAATAAATAGCATTAAAAAAAACAGTGAAAAACCTATTTAACAGATTAGATAATAGCATTTTCCAGGCAAATATATGGTATCTCTATAGATGTTTTGCATTAATTAATACAAGGTAGTGGGTAATTAAGGGTATATCTTGGTATGCCCACGTTACACATCTACTTTGTGAGCTGTATTGATTATCTGTGTACTTGGGGGCTCCCCTTAAAGAGTATTTGGAAAGTGTATAATATTTCATATTCATTGTCAAAACTTTAGCATAAACTCTGCTGTCTTATCTGCATGTGAATAGTATTTTCTGTTTGATTTTTGCTCATATTTATTTAAAAAAAAATCTTCTGCATCTACTTTTTCTACATGTTCCCTTTATTGTTCGTAGAACCCCAAGGACTGCAGCAAAGCAAAGAAACTAGTATGCAATATCAACAAAGGATGTGGTTATGGTTGTCAACTTCACCATGTGGTCTACTGCTTCATGATAGCATATGGCACTGAAAGGACACTGATTTTGCAATCTCAGAATTGGCGCTATGCAACTGGAGGCTGGGAGACTGTTTTTAGGCCAGTGAGTGAGACGTGTACTGACAGGTCAGGAAGTACTACTGGGCGTTGGTCAGGTAAGTGTCATTGACTTACACAGTTATTTATCTTCATTGTATATTAGATAGGTTAAGAGAGAATTTTTTAATCAACCATTTCAGTAACAAAGAACATTGAAGAAACACGTTATACCTCTATATTGTAGCTATAAGGTACCAGATATTTTAATTTTGAAATGAAGAATTAGAAATGGAGAAAAATAACATGAATATTATTATGAAGTATAGGCATTTCTCTGAATTTTTCGTTTTTATTGGTTGACTAGATAAGTTTACCAGAAGTTCAGGTGAGTAACACAGCCCATTTTGCTGCTTTTCTATTTTACATAACCTTCCCAATTTTCTGGGAAAACCCCATTTAAACTATGTATTTGATGGTGATTTGTATGTACTCCCTAAAATTTACGTATTTGTATTTTTTGTAGATGGGGAAACATCTTTTCATAATTAAAAGTAATCCCCAAACAAGACTGAATGAAGACATTTTAGCAAAGGCTATTTAGAGTATTTATATTATAACTGCTCTAGGCAGTTGATTTTTCCAAAGGACTAACCTGTTTGCCATGATTAGAAGATAGACCTGTTAGTCACCCAATTAGTTCTCACTCTCATCACTGATACAATATTATTACCAAATATTCCCCAGAGCATGCATATAAGACAGGGGATATAAAAACATAATTATATTTTGATATGTCCAGATGACATACCAATTTCCCAGATAAAGATGCAATTGCTTTTAGGAGTAGCAGATGGATGTTGTTATGCAATCTGAAGCCCCTTTTTGCCTTTGAATCTGAAGTGTTATATAACTCTTCCCATTCTATTATTGACGGGATTTCATCACACATACAATAAATGTCATTGTAAAAGGATGAAGTATTCTTTTTTTATTTTTGTCCCAAGTTAAAGAGGTATGCCTGCTTGAACTCTGTTTTTGGTGTACCTTTTTCAAATTTTGTTTGTGCATGTAAATCTGTTATGCTGTTCGTTTTTTTCCTTCAGTGTGGAATGAGCAATGTACAAGTACTGTTCTGTTGGCTTTCAGGAGCCATTGCAAGAGAATAAAAAGAGTTTAATAACATTGTAAATGTACTATCTAACCCACAAAGTTTAAATGCCCTGCAAAATTTATAGATTGTGTCCTGATGGTCTATATATGGCTTTTGGTTAGGAATGATTGTATATGATTAACCTTCTTATGAAGGTATCTCTTAAAAGTAAAGGTCTGTGTAGGCTGCTGCTCTGATTTTGGTATTTTGGATAAACTGAGGAGGCTTTTGTTATTTGTGCATGCCATCTGAGGATAAGATGTATTATGTCTCTGAATATTATGACTGGTAACCATCTGTATTATCAGTAGCATTTAGGATAATCTTCAACATTGTTTTTAGTCTTATTGAACAGAGGTATTCAATATGTTTGCTGGTATTCAAAAGGCATTCAAATGGAGAGTCTTTCTAAAGCATCTTTATCAAAACAAATTTAGTAAGAACATTACTATAGAGTAAACTATAGAGAACTGTTTTATATATGAAGAGCTTAAAAGGAATAACAATAACAACAACAATAATATATTAAATTTATATGCCATCTGACTCCCAGCAACAACTCTGGGTGGTTTATAATTGTTAAAAACATTTAAAAATAAAGAACAGTACAAAAAACCCACAAAAACAGCACAAGGCAAAAGAACAATGATGGCAAAGAAAACAAACCCGAGGGGAACATAGAGCAAGAAAGGGGCATCAGTCGCCTTCGCCAAAGGCCTGGGCAAAGAGTCAGTTCTTTCGGGTCCTTAGGAATACTAGTAGGGAGGAGCTGTTTGAATAATAGTAGAAATCAGTTCAGTAAGGATTAGAGTCAGTTTTCTGCTTAGGAGAGGTCTGTGATCATTTTCAACAGTTTCTCCCCCCCAGTCCATTACTGCAGTCTAGGCCCCTACATGCTGCTCTGGAGGCTTAGTGGATTTTCTGGAACATAGAAAAAGGGGGAGTTCATGGAAATTACTGCCCTATTTCCTTTCTTCAATGATAAGCCCGTGCTATATGCCAGGCCGTGCATTCAAGAGGATCCAGCCCAGAATTCCAAAGTCTGCTGAATATAATAAGCAATTACTATAAACAACAAGATCTCATTTTCTGTGTTCCATTGTAAAAAAAAAAGAAGTAAAGATATCAACATATTTTTAGATCTAACTATGTATGAACAATTTTCCCTTCTTCTTGGGATTCTCATTAGAAAAGTAGTACAGGGTAATCATCTGTATTACTAGATAGCTGACTAAAAAACAATTGCATTGATGACAATTGAAACATAATTTTTTAATAGAGATCCAAATTTGCCTATATTTTAGTTAGTTGAATTGTTACTTTTTGGTGTAAATAAGGGGAGAGAACTAGCAGTCCCAGAAAACTTTTTTCCCTGATTCAAAGGAAAACAGATTATTTGTCATTTATAACCATCTATTTTGAACCAGTTTGTAGTTTTTAAATAATCAGTTTGAACTCAAGGCATTTAAGACATTTTTGAACTGGGTTTAGCTCTGCTTCTCTGAAACAGTACTTTCTGAACCGGTTTTCAGGTTTGGTTTCAGGTTCGATTCGATTCCTTGAATTAGACTGCAGGATCCACCAAATGAAAAGCATCAACACATGTAAAGGTAGCTGGTACACATGGTTATCTTTATATCTATATTATATATATATATATAAATTGCATTTAATTTTACTAAGCTATCAGGGGTCTGATTGATCTTTGATGAAATCAAGGGGAAATAAACTCTGAAACGCTTAATTGGGAGTGATAGTTTTTCAGTATTATTCCAAAAATACAGCATTGAAAGCAACATATTGCTTATATTTTAAATCTTATGATATCTTGTTGAGGTATATATGAAGAGCAAGGAATAGATTTTTTTCTAGTTTTATAT